GAAAGGAAGGGACTATAACAGAGTTGATGTGGGAGAGACAGTGACTGGTCTGTGGATGAGCAGGAGGTTGAAATGGCCCCTGCCCCCTCGAGGCTCCTGTCGATTCATCCTTCCGGCAGGAAGTGTGCGAGGATCAATAAGAAGCGAGGGTCTCTGGAGAGAGACAGAGAGAGGGAGCCTTTTCCCAGCCCCGGTCTCTTTTTGTTTCGTTAAGAAGCTCCTCGCTCTATTCTGGGTTTGAATTGAGAATAATGAGCTTAGAGGTTTCTGTCGTCATCTTCATAGTCATCACTGATAATAAAATTAACAAAATTGACTCCTCATCAAACACCTTTGACCATACGATCCAAATGGAAATCATTTATCAGTAATCTTATTTTAAAGTATTGTAATCAGGCCTTTGTGCCTCTAAATGCAGCTTTTAGTGCTTTCTTCAGAATGTTTTTATTTTTCATCACAAAGGCTTTGCTGTGTGTTAGTTAGTGTTGTGGAAAGGGGTTTTAGCAACACTTTTCTTACTGTGAAAGTACAAGTAAAATAAAAGAACAGCCCTTGAGTCATTGATAACTTAGTCTGATTATTATTTCTATACTGCAACTTCTTTCTATTATGGGTCACATAAAACACAAGAGGACAGTCAAACATTCCTGACAGCCACTTTGATGTCTTCTTTAATCAAACAAAAGGACATGGTCTTTCACATTAAAAGCCTAAAGTCCAAATGGTTGAACACCATAAGTGGCTGAGAGGTTATAGTACCACAGAAATGTACAAGTTAGTAAATGGAGGTAGGTTTAGTTATTGTAAATAAGTAAATATTTCACTATAGACTGTGCCTTGATGTATCCTTCTGTTCACTCTCTACTTGAGACAGTTACACAAAACAACAAAAACCTTCCGATGTCTCTTCACCACCCACACTTATCAGACAGGAGTCTGGGGTCTGAAGATGGTCTGTTTTAGGATCCTCACGTGAAAAGGTTTTAGAATCCCTCCACTGCTTCCTTGTTGGCACTTAAATTGAGGTATAAAACTGGCAACATTTCAATCACATGCTTTTGTATAATCATTTGTTTGCTGCTAATGATTAAATGGACCGTTTAGAGCTGCTTAACAGCTGAGAAAAGCAACAAGATCACAGTGTGGCAGCTCAGACTAGAAGCAGGAGCTGCTGGTTTAAGAGGAAACACTCAAATGATGCTGACCTTCCGGAGCAGCTCGTCCTCTCCCACTACCACCTGTCTGCAGCCTGACAAGGTTATTATTTTAGCCCTTAACCCCATCATGAAGCTGCAGAGTCAATCCTCTCAGAGAGGATTATAGTGAAGGTGTGCTACGCTAGAGTCTCTCACTGAGTGGTAAACATGAGTGAGCCATGTGAAAAGTCTCATTTGGCATACAAAACATATATTAAATGGTGCCTGAGCCTGAGCTCTCATGCAGGGGATATTGTTATTGGCTGGATCACAAAATCGAGTGTCCTTGGTGAGGAAAAAAATGAACCAAAGAATACCGAAATTTACAACCTTAATAATAACAGCTATTATCATTATCATAACCACCACCACCATCATCATCTCAAGAACTGAAAATTCAATAAATAAGCTGAAGTGTAGGACTGTAGAAATGTATTAACATCTATGATTGGGGATGACTGACTAACCTTTATTAATGGCTCATTAGAAATTGAGAAACTTGTGACTCTTTATTAATGTCATACCAACATTTATAACTACAAACCTGGTGACTTATTAGAAAGTGCAAACCAACATGCAACTACAAACAAATGCCTTATTGTCGAACAGAAACATACAACCATGTTATCACCAAAACATTTTATTTAAACAGAGCATGCTGGTGCAATAGAGGCTTTAATCGAGCAACATAATGGAAACTTCTTAACTTTAAAAATGTAATAAAAACAACCATCAACATTTCACATGCACTGTATTGTTCTCTCTACACTTGTACTATGTTAAGTCAACATCTAGTCAAATTCTACGTTTCAGTTAATAAGTGGTTACAATCAAACATCAGACAGCACCCCACTCAAATAGTTTATTCATGCATTGCACGGATGTTTTGGTCATCTGCCGAACTGAGCGTCTTGATTCATTACTTAATCTAAAAGAAATTACTGAGTCTGTAGTTATAAATGTTAATAAGCAGTTTATAAATGCATTTTGGTCCAGTTGTGCTGCAGCACTTTTCCAGAGGATAAGTGGTCAGAGTCCAGTGGGGAGGAAGTCTTTAACTAATGAATTGAAAGGTTGTTCTTATTAATGGCTTATAACTGATCTATACTGCACAAATGATTTATTAACCATTAAGAAAGCCATTCATTACAGGTTATTAATCCTTCATAAATGTTGCCTTATTGTTGCATCTACATCTTTGACCAACCAGGGGTCAGTGTGCATACTATCCTCCTTCTTTGCCTTGTTTTTGTCACTGTCCCATGTTGTTTTTGTCTTCAGAGCTGGCATGACGTCACGGTTATGTCGCCTCCTCATCAGTCAAAACAGAAGAGTGTTACGTCAGAAATCAATCATTTCTTGTTTGTCTTTTATACTGGAATTTCTGGAGTCTGGCTCAAAAGTTTAAAGTAACTAATCAACATCAGTCTAATCAACAACACCAACTCTGACAACACAGGGACTACAGAAGAGCGTAATCAAGAGTTCAAGAGTGATTCTCCTGGTCCAGCCGGTCTGACACTCCTCCCAACAGCCCCCAGTTTTCAGTGGACAGTCTGAAAGAACAAGTGAGAAAACACAGGAGGAGGAGCCTGACCTATTCATTCATTCAGTACTGTGTGTGTGTGTGTGTGTGTGTGTGTGTGTGTGTGTGTGTGTGTG